AAACTGATTCAAAACAGGTTTGAGATAGTATAGGTAGGTACCTATTCTGACGATGAACCCATGACGTCACACAAAATTGGTTCAAACAGCATCGAAATACAATCGAATCCACGTTTTTAACCCATTTTCTCGCGCCGAGAAGTTATGACGTCATTGTGAAACTGTTTTAAACCAGTTTTGAAAAATGTTCCTAAACTTTGAGACGCGAGAAAACATCTTTGAACTGCAAGTAAATACACAAATTAATTGGTTGACATATTTTGACTTAACCTAACTTAAGTTAATAAAAAAAAAAGATATTTTGACTTATTTTTGTAAAACATAGGTAAACTCTGTCTAACCAAAGTTGAACGTTGAAGGTCACTTACTCCAATATATCACAGACGTTGCTTTTTGCTGCTGTCCTTATTGCACGCGCTCTGTGTTTATCAAACCAAAATAGGTCCGAACGTGTGAATCCTATGGTTACAAGGATGAGTAAGTGACCTTCAACGTTAAACTTTGGTTAGATAGAGTATATAGCAGTGTCTTCTGTTATATCAGGAATATAGTTTTTTCTATATATTTTTTTGCACTTAATTTATAAAGGGCCCCCCAAAACTTCACTAGCCCCGGGCATTTTCATGCATCCGTTTTCCGACGAAATATGTCCGAAAAATCTTCTATTTTGACATATTTTTATACGATTATGTCAGAATAGAATGTTTTTTCGGACATCTTTCGTCGGAAAAACGGATATAGGTTTTTTACGTTATATTTAGGATGACGTCAGAAAACAAGGACTGACAATGTTGTCAATGCCTATTTGTTTTCTTATAATTTACCAGAATGTCATAATGAATTATCAAGACCACTGACAGCTTAAAATAACGAAATGAATCGACACGCGTTATTTATTTGAAAATGTTCATTTAAATCATGCAACATCGCGCGCCGTTACCAACCAGAAACATCTAAAATTCCCCTACTTTAAATGCATTAAGAAGTACTTTTAGTTTTGTCAGATTTGCAGCATAAATTTACTAAATGTGACGTCATCCTAAATATAGCGTGAAAATCCTATACATGAAAATCCGGCCTAATCCGGCCATGATTCATGGTGCTGTCAAACGTAAATTAAAATGTCCGCCAAGAGGCACACAAACAAACCGTTCCAAAAAGTACCGACTTTTTACCGGTTGAACGAGATCGTCCGTTCCAAAATTGACCGGAATAATCAGCTGTTTGAAACCGGTGAAGCACCAGATCCACCGGGAATTTTTGTCGGTTTTTTCGGTTGGAAATTTTTTGACACTTTTTTTTTGACGTACATCAATTGCTTTGAATGGGCACTTTTGACAGTCGTTCAGTAAATTGTCACAACACAACCAAACTTTAACACACCAAAGTCACCAAAGCGTTCCAAAATGCATCAGAAAAATCTTGTAACCGGACTTACATCTAACTTTTACCGGAATTTTTTGACAGCTACCGATTTATTTAACCGGTCAATTTATTGGTGAAATTTGAAAAGTGTCCCTTCTCTTTGTTTGCTTGTCAAAGTCACGTGTTTTGGATAGGCTAAATTCTCGGTTATTCACATTGAGATAGAATGATACTATAGGTGGGTTCAACTTGCTCACTCCGAGTGACTCCATTCGTACTCCAGTCGTTCGGGTATTGCTTTTTGGCGTATTAGGGGCGACTCAATTAGCTTTCGACTATACGGAGTGGAGTAAATGGAGTTCACTTCAAAAGCTCCACATCGGAAAGAGAATTTTTAGAATAAGCATGCGCAGTGTGTAAATGTGGGAACTGTCAAGCTTGTTGTGTAATCACATTCCGCGTGTGGGTAAATTCAGCTGGTGTAGGCACCGTGGTGGAATGGTAGAAAAAGCAGTGTTGGTGAATTAAACAGGGTTTGACAAGCTGTGGTTTGGCATTGGAATTAGTGAATTAATCACCAAATCCGTGGCGGTGCACCATTTTGGTGAATTTAGCAACACGCGGATTGTGGTTATTAAAAAAATTAAAAATCGTTGTGTGGATACGGGAATTGGAAAATCATCGAGTAGATACTCGATCTGGGCCCGGATTCGGAACCTACGATTCGATAGTAGTCGTCTATCTATTTTATATGGACGATACTATCGAATCGTGGATTCGGAATCCGGGCCCTGATGAAACATGATGGAAAAATTTCCTTGACAAAGTTGAACAGAGGCAAAAGCATCGTATCTATTATTGTGGACGAACTGAAGTTAATTTATAGTAAACAGTACACAAAAGACCAGAGAAAAATGAGAAGAAAAAAAATTGTAAACAGGGCTGGGATCGCGACAAGTAGAATTATTCTACTAGAATTCTACTTTCATGACGTCAGGTTGCCTACCAACTGTCATCATCGCCTGTATTTTTTTTTTTAATGTACGTGATAAATAGGTCACTGGTGACGTCATGGAAGTAGTATTCTACTTGTCGTGATCCCAGCGCTTGCATGACGTCACCCGCGACCTATTTATAGCATACAATACAGGCGATGATGATGGGGAATGGGATCACGTCGAGTGGAATTCTACTTGCATGACGTCACTTGCGACCTATTTATCGCATACAGTACAGGCGATGATGATGGTTGTTAGGCAATCTGACGTCATGAAAATAGAATTCTAGTAGAATTCTACTTGTCGTGATTCCAGCTTCCAGCCCAACGTTGTAAAGTCACGACACGACTGACTGTTGTTTTAAAACAAAACAAATCAGCTGTTTGATATTTTTGCTCCGACCGTTCCGGTCGTTCGTGTATTAATTTTTCACTCTAATCACTCCTAGATCATGTTACAAAAATCTGTTCTCACTCCACTTCAACTCCATGCTGAATCGCCGAACCCAGCTTATAAACTTCAATGGTTACCCGTCACAATTTAAAAAGCTTCAAGTACAGATAGTAGATTATACCACGAGTCAATAATGATAGCTATTATATCCGAGGGAATAATAGCCATTATTGCGAGTAGTATACTCTACTTTATTTACGACAAATTAATTTATTTGAGATTTTCAATGAACAAATTTCATCCGTCTCATAATTTTCAATACAAATCCACAAACACTACACGTTTGACACTGACACTTTTGTGGAATAATGACCATTAATCCCGCTACTCGTCATTAATCCCTGGAGGAATAACATATGTCATTATACTGCCAAAATCACAAATATAATACGCACATTATACATTAGTCGTAAATAAAGCTTTCTTTACAACGCAACTGTCAATATTACATACCATTGTGGACATTCCTTTTTTTCTTTTTTTAAAGTTCTATGCGTTCGGTATTTTGATCTGAGTTCTCCGAGCTTGATAACCGTTCGTTTATTTGGAAAGTGTACTCGGTGCAGGCTTATTTGCGTTCGTTTATCAAAATTTCGGGCACTCTGATACAGCGTTCAACTGCTCTGTTCGCTCGCTGGTCAAGTGATCGCGGTTCCGCTCAGCACGCTCTGCTCTTTGAGCAAAATACCGAGCGCAAGGGATGTATTTATCATTATGAGACAGTCATTGAGATTTGCTTTGAATTAGACAGAGATAGGCTGCTCATCAGTAGATCCATTGGTGAAAAAAAAAAAAAAAAAAAATGGTTTCATTAAGCTGCTTTCGGGTGCCACCCTTTGAGCGCTCTCGAGTTACTCCGAAGTACTCCGGCTACAGTTTGACTAGTTCGGTTTCAAGCATTCTAGTGCAAAACGCATGAAGTATGACAGGTCACTGACAGGTGTGAAGTGTTCTAGGGGTGCGTTCAAAGACGGCAATGCTAATGCCAAAACCAATGAACTATAACCAAAAACTGGAATGCTAACACATAAGGAAGAACGTGAAGCCTAGTGCAGCTGCTGTGGAGGGGATACCTGTTTTTGTCGCACTCATTATGTTAAATGGCGAAAATTGCTTCCAACACGTATTCCAATTGATGAAACCTGTGAAGGAAAATATGACAAAACTTTCGAAAACGTCATATGTCAGCAAGCAACAGAAAAAAACAACATTCCCCCTTGTGGCATCTGTCTTTCATGGCTTCATTTTTTGGGCAGATATGGCAATGTGCGCGCATTCCAGTTTTTGGCTATAGTTCATTGGCCAAAACCTACTTTTCCCCCTCCACCGGTAATGCCGAACCACGTAGGTTGGAGCCGAACTCGAACACAAAATGCCAATTTTGGCTTGACTGTAGCCATTCCTGAACGCAGCCTAGGTAATGATTCTAGGAGCACCCGAAAGCGGCTAACACAACAAATGTCATTGTCAAATGTCTATCTTTGTCTAGTTCATAGAAAATCGGTATGGCTGTTTCATAATGCTAACAGCAGATGGATCTGTTGCTGAATAAAATAATTCGCTCTTTTTTTTCAAGTATTATGGCCGTTTGCACCGTCCGTTTTAAGAGAGGCCTAACGATAAGTATACCTTAAAATGACAGTTTTATATGTAAAACTGTCACTTTAAAGAATACTTATCGTTAGGCCTTCCTCAAAATCGTCGATGCAAACGGCCATTAGACACTTTAAAAGTTGGACCAAACACGTTAACTGTATAAGGTGCACGCAAAGACCCGCTAAATAACGTGAAACGTGACACGTAACACGCTATTTTTGGTGAAAAGAAACTGCGCATGAGCACCTGTCAAATCTTACGTTAGCGTTAAAGTGTTTTGTCTAACTTATGGTCGTCTGCACCGACGACTTTAATGAAAGGTTAACGATAATCATGGCTTGCCTTAAAGTAACATTAATACATGTCAAAATATCACTTTAAGGCCCAGTTGTACAATCTCGGTTCAAAACAAAGTTCAACTGAACTCGACTGCCAACTGGTACTTGAGCTTTCCCATTTGAAATACATTGCTGTCATCAGTGTTGCCAACTACTTTTTGCAAAACTATTGACAGGGAATTCCACCTTTACTGGCTTCTCTTTGCAATCAAAATAAATGTGATTCCTTACATTATTATTTTAATTCCAGACGCTTCAATATTTAGTGTGGAAGGGGTCCACCTCTACCCGGAACAATACTCAGGGATCAAATGAGAGCGGAAGAAGCACCGTTGCCAGCTCAGTAGCGGTCACAGAACCAAGCAATGATGTCGCGTCGTTTTTCGATCTACTATAGTAATAGTCCGCCGATTCTCTCGTACAATCATACCATAATATTTTTGCGTTTTTTTTTCTCCCTTTGCCAACGAAAACTAGAAGGTTTTTTACGTAAATGTGGCAACATCGAACTGACCTGGTATGCGCGCGCAACACGAGGTTACTGGTATCGGTTTAACTAAGCTGCGTTTAAACCTTACGCTAGGTATTCCTTTGTCCTTATCCAGTGTAGGACAAAGATAAAAGTACAGTTGAAACACACGTCACGCGGTCTTCGTCCTTCCCTTTTTATCCCATACAAATAAGAAGGACAAATTGCTATACATAAGTTTTAACATGATTTGATACGTCTTGTGCAATGAACGTTGCTGCATCTTTTTTTATTTAATGAAGTTTTCGTATTATTTACTTCTTTGTCTGGTGAAATAAATAGATCAATTGGAATATATTCCAATTCAGTGTTGCCACATTTACAATAATATCGTTGAACTATCATGCAATATCCTTGTAAAAAAAAATAATTTTAAGTTGAAAAATTCTATCCCTAAGTTTAAGTCAAAGTTATTTTTGTATTTAAAAGACTGGGAATTATAAAACAATTTTTCTAGGGGGCACCCTACAATGCCCCCTTTGTAATTAATTTAATGAGGAAAACAATTTTTTTGTTTGTTCGATATTGTTTCTGGTTTGTCTCTCTTCAGGCGTTGTTATTATTATATTTTTTGTCTTTTTTTTTTCAATGTTATTTGTATACCCTTTTTTTATATTATTTTTTTTTGTTTATATACATTATGGCATTATTTGATCAAAAAAAAAAACGAAATTTATTTTAGTCAAATTAAGGAGGTTTTGATTACAAATAAATTTTGTCTGAAAACTGTGATTTAATAAAATAAAAAAATGATGCATTTAGGTGAACCAGACCAAAAAAAATTATCAAATTAATCGAAAGCTGCGTCGAAAAGTTTAAAAAAAAAATAGAAAATGGCTAACTCATTCCTTCCATAGTGCTCAATTAAAAAAACCGTGTGTGTAAAGTAATTTTTTGTGTGTGTGAAGACTATCCCTTCATACAAACTACTAATAAAATAATAAAGCCTTATTATTATCAAAAAAATTGGGGCAAAGTGACACTGAGTACAGATTTTGAAAGCCCTTTTTGTAAGCCTATTTTTATTTTGTTTTGTTGTTCCAATAATGTAAATATAATAAATGTAGCAAAGAAATCACCTTGTTGAGTTACGCAAATCTTAGATAGCCATTTTGTCTGTGTTATTTTTAAGAGTTGAGAATCCTCGTGCTGTGAAAATTCTATAATCACAAGGATTTTTTTTTTAGCAAAATAGATCTTGACTGTTTTGTAAATAACATCAATAAGTGCCAAAAAAAAGGGGCAAGGATAGAATAGAAAAATTGTAGGCCGATTGTAGACATTTATTATTTAATTTCTAATAATCATCACTATAGGCCTAACAAAAAACAGCTAATTAGAAAAAAAAATCAGTAATAAACAATTCTAGGGAACGAAATACATAAATGTAGAATGTCTTCAAAATTCTAGAAATTAGTGAGATTTAATTTAATTAACAGAAAATGGAATCTTTGTACTACTATAGATAGAAATCTTTATAGATTACAAAAAATAAATCAAAATCAAAAAAAGGCACTAATTTTTGTTGCTGCAGTGCACAGCTTTATCCCCCCACAAAAAAAAAAATAAAGGACGTCCAATAACTAAAAAAAAAAACCGTCTCATGTTCTAACTGTGAAAATTTGTATATTTAAGCGTTGATTAGTATTTGAAGGCTTTTTTTCTTAATAGAAATTTAGTATTTTATTTTTAAATACAAATCATCGTCCCCCCAAAAATGCACGCTAAAAGCATGCTCTCATTTTTTTTGTTGAGATTATCTCTCAAATGTTGCAATATATATTTTTCGAGTATGATGTAAAAAACAACTTTTTGTGATAAAGGGTGTGTTGTTTTTTTTTTTAAGTGAATGTTTTTCAAATTGGAATTAATAATGATAATAAGAAAAAAAAGGAATTCACCCCGAGAAAAAGGCGAGGGATCCTCTTGGTTCCCTTGTCCAGAGAACAATGTTGCTTTTGTACATAGGAATAGTTGTTTATATTTAGGTTATCCTAAGACTATTAAAAAATATTAATAAATGTCTTTGTATAAAGAAAAATTAATTTTTGTTTTAACCGAACAATAGCTATTTGTACTTATCAAATCTTGAGTTTGGGATATGGCTATAAAGTAAGTTCAGCAACGTCGCATTGTTTAATGTCTGAGAAAATTAAGAAAAAAGATGTATTGTTTGCCCAGCGAATCTGAGTCTGCAAAAGGAATTCGGACGTAAATGTGCCATGTTGCCACGTTTAATTATAAAAAAGCGAAAATACTAGGCAGGAGTATAATTCATTTGAAAATCGCTTTTTTAATAACAAAATATTGATAACAATAATAAAACGCTAAATATTTGAACGTGGCTGTTAGATCTATTCTTATTTTAATCCTGATTTTTTCAATTTAGTCTATTGTAATCAGCTTTTGACTATTTGGCAAGCATCCGGCCTGGATGAACCTGATTGGTGGAATTTTTGGCAGAATCGCTGTTGCCATAGAGAACCATACGATTGTCAATGTGTCAATGAGCTAACGTCACCCAGCGTCTCGCTATTAGCCAGGGCTCACGTCATTTCATCTTCCCATCTTGGAATATCGATTTATATTGAAATATCCAGTGGCGGAGGTTTGGTCATTGTCGATTTTCGTGTACGGGTTGCAATACGATAACACTTCCAAAAAGTTCTGCACGCAGATGGATATTTTATGAATGAAATCAGCCATATTTTTTTTACAACTGCATTCCCCTCACCGTTGCCCTGTAGACACAGAGTCGCTGGGCAGACATTAAGTAGAAATTATTATACAGGGTAAGTAAAAAGTACTGCAACACTTAAATATCTTTAAAACTGCTTAAGCCGCGTTTACACAATTCGGAATCTAACAGTTTTTAGGCATGCGGAATTCAACAGTGCTATTGGCAATGTTGCCAGATTTCCCAGTTTTGCGCTACACGTAGTCTTTTTGTTATCTTAAATAGAAGGCCCCATTTATTTTTATTGCAATGAATTGGGCGTGCCAAATTTGGTAAGACCACAAATTTTCAGAATTCTATCTCTACTAGTTGTTGAAATATGACAACACCATAATTTCGGTGAAAAGTGTCGCAGCCCTTGAATATCTTCAAAGGCCGCTTAAGCACGTTCATGAAGTTTGGTATCTAGGAATTTTTGGGCAAACAAAATTCAACAGTGACATCAGCATTGTTGCCAGATTTCCCAGTTTTGCGCTACACATTGTTATCTTGGATAGAAAACTGGGAAACTTGCCAACCATGTTTGATACCGTTCACTGAAAATGCGGTGTTGGCATATTTCAGCAACTAGTAGAGATAGAATTCTGAAAATTTGGAATCTTATTGAATTTGGCACGTCCAATTTATTGCAGTAAAAATAAATGGGACATTCTATTCAAGATAACAAAAAGACTACGTTTAGCGCAAAACTGGAAAGTCTGGCAACAATAATGCCAATATCACGGTTGAATTTTGCTTGCCGAAAAACCTCGAGATATCAAATTTCGAGAACATTGCTATACTTTTCACTGAAAATACGGTGTTGTCATATTTCAGCAACTACACCTTTTCCACATGTAATTTCAAATTCATTTATTCCAGGTGTATAGTACAGTAAATTACATAGTATTTTTACCCTGCAAGAGACAAGAAGTCTGTGCACAGGCACAATTGCGAATATAGCAATTTATATTGCGAATTCATAAATTGATTTTGCGAATAATCAAGTGATATTGCGACTATACTGAATCGTTATTGAGAAAAGTTAAATGTAATTGCAAATATATCAAATGTAATTGACAAAAGTTAAGTGTAATTGAGAATATATCAGATGTAATTGGGGAAAATCAAATGAACTTTGGAATATGTCAAATGCAATTGCGAATTTACCAAATATAATTAAGACATAATCAAATAATTTCTCTGTCGACTCTTTCTCGTCATCGTTGATCTGCATATATCACAATTATTGTGAAATCCCATTTTTGTGTCGCCTTTTTTTGACACAAAACAACTTATATGTATGTAAACAAAAGCTTTCTTCAACAACAGACTTAGTTATTTTAGCAACAACATACAGATGTTGATTGATAAATTAAAAGGCTCAATTACAACTGATTCATTACTAATTTTATTTGATTATCCATATGACATATTCGTAATTACACGTAACTATTCTCAATTACATTTGATGTAATCGTAATTATATTTAACTTTTCTCAATTACATTTAATATATTCGCGATATCAAGTGACTATTCTCAATTAGATTTGATTTATTCTCAATATTATTTTACTATTCCTAAAATTAAGTGATATATTCGCAATTACACATGGAAAAGGTGTAGTAACGATAGAATTCTGAAAGTTTGGAATCTTATCAAATTTGAAACGCCCAATCCACTGCAATAAAAATAAATGGGCCATTCTATTTAAGATAACAAAATCACTACATGTAGCGCAAAACTGGGAAATTTGGCAACATTGCCAATAGCACTGTTGAATTCCGCATGCCTAAAAACTGTTAGATTACGAATTGTGTGAACGCGGCTTAAGCAGTTTTTTGAAGATATTTAAGTGTTGCAGTACTTTTTACTAACCCTGTTTACTACTAGTAAATCTGATAACGAGTAAATTACTATTCCGGAATTAACTGGGCACTGGGCGAGTTCCACAGAAATGTACTCGTTTTTGAAGTCGTTAATTTACTCATAATAAAGTCACTAAAGAATTATAATTCAGAGATTATCCAACATGAGTAGAAATTATGATGTTCTGGTAACCTTGATAACGAGTAAATTACTGTTCCAGAACTTACTTTTTTTATTTATAGGAATTGGAAATGCGTTATGCTCACCTAGAGCATTGGTGTGACCTGAAAATAAATAAAATTTTGTACTAAATTTGATGTTTGGTGGTGTACCTACTCATTTTTGAACCTCTGCGCAGCAACTAACTCATTAATGAATTTGATAATGAGAAGTTTATGAGTAAAGATTCTAAATACGCGCTACGCGCCTCGGTTTATAAAAGCGTTCGGTATATAATGACCAACTTCTCTACCTAGGTATATAATGTACTATTTTTTTTGTGACGGGAAAAAAGTAGACTTTTTGTACCTGTTGAAAGGGGCAAAAATGTCACTTTTTCTTCCATGGGAAAAAAGTGATTTTTTTCTCCCACAGGAAAAAAGTAACAGGTACCAGTCAAATTTTTTTCTCAAAGGGAATAATGTATAGATGTAAAATGTTGAGATTTTCCCATCACAGAAAAAAATAGTGTATTATGTATACATGGGAAAAAAGTAAGATTTTAGCGCTCGCTGTGTTGTCTCCCTCCGCTTCGCGTCGGGAGAGGCACCATTTAAATTTGGAAGTTTTATATTTTTTTTACTCTACAACATGGAATCTTCAAATTTCAAATCCGACGTTTCGTGATCGAGCTACCATCATCAAATTAATTTTTTTAAATACGGACCCGGATTTTTAATGTAATTTTTAGAAAGAGAATAAAGGGCGCTTTCCAAAAATGGCATAAAAAATTAGGGTCCTTATTTAAAAAAATGAAGTTGATGATGGTAGCTCTACACAAAACGTCGGATTTGAAATTAAAAGATGCCATGTTGTAGAGCAAAAAAAAATATAAAACTTTTAAATTCAAATTGTATTTTGAAAATCAATAGTTTTCGAAATGATTGATGAAATATTTTTGGGCGTTTCTCAGAGATCACCCTGTATTTTATAAACTAAAAGGAATTTGGCAACACTGTGAACAAATCTTGAATAAGTATCAAAAAAGGAATTTTTTTTCTAATTTAACCCACCTTGTAGCTCTTACCGTTTCGGATATAGCAATAGTGGTATCACTTAAAATATACACCCTGTATATGGGTAAAAAGTAAGATTTTAGCGCTCTCTGTGTTGTCTCCCTCCGTTTCGCGTCAGGAGACAAACCACACCTCGTGCTAAAATCTAGTACTTTTTTTCCTTATATAATAAATAACTATTGTTCTTGTTGCAATCTTTTGAATTTTCTCTATTTAGAGAAATTTAGAAGAAAATAGAATTTCAAGAGCCGGGAATAGACAAAAATTGAGAAAAAATGGTAGATAAGAGAACATTCATGTTTGAGCGATATAAAGAAGCGGGATTGAGAAAAACCAAGTATTTCACTGATACAAATCATACTAGAGCAAAACTCATCAATACAAAATATCGATAATAGTACTTATCAATACGAATTTGTCATTTAGCAGTTCTTCACAAACTTCATTCGACATGCAAAAAGGAGCTTCTACTTCTATCTGGATATCTATTGTCGGAACAGCGTTCTTACAAAAACTAAGACAAAACCTTCGTTCTCATGAGAACACTGCTCCTCTGTACCAAGAATAAATGGCCCAATCAATCTAAATTATTGACAGAAATATCTCATCAATAGTAATAAATATCGATAAGCCCTTCTCTAGTTCAATCATGAGACTAATACGAATAAAACACCAAAATATTTAAATAAATTTAATTGTTCTACAACATTATACAAACTAAAAGGCGAAAAATCATAAAATAAATAATAATATAAGTATATATACAAAATTAATCTTCATAAATCAAATTCAGATCCAACTAAATTCAAATATACATCATTTCAGCCATAGAGCTCATTTTTTTAGGAATATGCACCGACGTTTCAAAGTAACTAGCCAGTTCGTCAATAGTGACGTCACAAGGAGGATTCGCATTTACTCTGGCCTGATGCGAACAACTAGCCAAACTTGTTTGTTCTGTTTTCGGTGTATGCAATTTTGGCGGAGCGGCAGAGCGGGCCGTTTGAAAACTTTCTTTCAATTCACCATGAATAACCGAACTATCCAGCGATAGTTTACCGCAAGCGTTCATCAACGATTTGAAATCTTTGTCTTTGAAACAGTGACTCAACACTTTTTCTTGGGCTTTGGCTTTTCTGTGGTTGGTTTTGAACTTGACTATTTTCAGTATGGGGTCGCGTAAGATTTTTTTGTTGGTGTGTTTGAAGGAGGTGGTTTTTTTGACGCCAGGGGGTTTCGAGCATAAGCAAACCTTGGACCGATTTGTGGTGAGGCTTGTGATGCTCGACAGAGACTTGGAACGTGGCCTGAAAGGGTTGAAATCGAGCTGATTCATTGTTTTGCGTTTATTAGGCTCTTCTAATTCTAATTTTTGTAGCGAGATTAACAGTTTGGAGTCTGCTTCTTCCATTTCGTTCTAAAAAAAAAAAGAACCTTGGATGTTAAGGTTGCACTAAATTGGGATTTAGAACACTTACCATGGGTAGCACAAATAACCATTATATAAGTGAAAAGACAAGGTTGGGCCTTATTTTGTTTAATAAGGCTTTAAAAATGGGGCACTTGTTTACAAACAAACTGACACAACAAAAAATATTTATGATGACTAATAAATAATCAATGGCGGATTGACATCTATGACAAGGAGATTGTTTATTGGGCATGCGCGATTTTTTTCCAAATTTGACCTGCTCCATCTGCTCCGAGCAATCTACTATCAATTTACAAAAATCAGGAAAGCGTTGTAATGTTTAGAGCGGCACTTTTTACACTTAAATGTTGGTTTGAGTTTGGATTGTTATAGCGTATTTCATTGGTAGAGCAAGTGCAACACTGGTACAATATTCGTGATCCATTGGCAGAGTCCGCGCTGCACTTTTGTATTTCATTGGGAAAGCAATGCATTGGGGCGAGTTCAGAAATAACACACCGGGTGTGAGTGCAATTTTATGGGTGTGACGAAAATGACAATTCTTAGGCGACAACTTTCGTATGAATTTCTGAACGCTTGGTGTGACCAATCGAGCATCTCCTCAAAAATTTCACCAAATCTATTAGGATTACTTTTTTTTTGTTGTTCATTTTTTTAATTTGAAGGAAAAACTTTAATTCTTATATTTCTTATTTGTGTTTTGCTTATATTTGGTGGGATTATTGAGATTATGGGAGGAATGGTTGACATTGTTGACATAAAGACACAATCACACCGCAGCCACACCAAAAAATTATGGTGTGTCCGGTGCGACACCTGGAGCGCGCCCAAAGTACTTTCTGAACGGCACAGAGTGCGCGCACTCAGTGTGCCTATAGTATTTATGAACGGCTAGGGCGTCGCACTGCTGTCACACTCACACTGAGTGTGTCATTCCTGAACTCGCCCCTGAGTGCCGTTGGTGCGTCACCGGCTAAAAAGCTCGTGTCGCACTCAGTGCAGTTGTTTATTGTTATTTTGAAATTGATGTTATTGGTGGTTGATGGTTTTTCATTAAAAAACAGTCCCAAATTTTATTTAACTACTACGATGAGTTTCATTGGGACTGCTCGCGTGCAGTTTTTTTAAAGTGTCAGTCCAAAATGAGTGTTGCTGTTGCTCTACCTATAGCTGTATTCCTTTAACACCTAGGAGGAGCTCCGGAACAGCTCCGGGGCTTCACGCACTTATTTCTTTCGAAAAGTGTTTGCTACACCACGCATCTGTTCCCTGCAAATCGGGGGCGACTAAACACCGGAGCGAGTAGCTCAAGTGCTTGAAACTCTTGAAAGGAATACAGCTAATGAAATACGCTATTAGAAACTACCCCAAATTCAAACTGCAATTTCTATCGAGCAGGAATAAAATAGAACAGCATAGAACCAAATGACACCCCTCGTCTGAAATCAGCTTGTTTTATTTTAATTAAACTCTTTGATCCATCGAATATGACGGAGCAAGAAAGATCGCTACTTGCGAAATTTGAGAAAGCTTTATAGACCTATCTATTTTTACCTGGATGCGCGCGCAACACGAGGCTATGCATTTTTATTGGCTGACTAGTACAGGTATAAAGTAATCCTTTTGCACGCTGGGTATCTCCTTGTCCTTGTTCATTGCCCATGGTTTGACAAGGATAAAATTATGCTTGATATTCAACTTGACGTAGCTTGACAAGTGTTCGATTTTCAATTGTTTGTGTTTTTGATTGACAAATACGTTGCATGTCACGCGGTTTTCCTTCTTCCTTTTTTATCCCGTGCAAATAACAAGAACGGACTGCTATACGTAAGTCTAACATAATTTGGTACGTTTTGCCTCGTCTTGCGCAGTAAGCGTTTTGCGTCCTTTTCTATCTAATAAAGTTTTCGTATTATTACCTCTTTGTCTGGTAAAATAGATAGGTCTATTGCTCAAGTTGAACACGTGAATTTATTTTGCCAAGTGCAACGCTTCGTTTTAAACCGAACATGTGAATCCATTTTGGCTTTTTGATCAAGGCTGAGTTCAGTTCGAATTCGACTTTGTACTCCAAGGAGCGAAACGGTTCGAGCATGGATATTGTGACGTCATACGCAGAGTGCGCCCGAACGGGAACCGGAAAAACCAAGAATCCTGGTTAACGTCGCCTAAAGCTGGGTTCGGTTATTCAGCGCGGAGTTGGAGTGGAGTGAACAGAGCTAATGGATTCACCCCATACGGTAAAAAGCGAATCTAGGAAATAAGCGCACCGGAAAAAAGCGCACAGGAAATATCCGCACAGAAAAAAACGCATAGGAAATAACCGCACACGGAAAAAAGCGCACAAGAAAAAAAGCGCACAAGGTAAAAAGCGCACACGAAAGAAAGCGAACAGGGAAAAAAGCGCACATGGAAGAAAGCGCACACGGAAAAAAGCGTACACACGAAAAATGAGTTATTACTAATAATAAGTATACGTTTACTTTTAATGTACCAAAATAACGTAAATAAATAATACTAATAATATCCAACATACTACCTGGGGTACAAATAATAAACGAAAAATCACAGAGTATGATAAATTGTATTAACGGCCAAATTATGGACCGACTGAGTACATTTCGTACACGAAATTTGATTGACAGCAATGTAAATTAAATGTGGAGCATTCGAAATCGTATCAAATTTCGTATGCGAGAATATTCGAAAATACGACCCCAGGGGTCGATTTTTGAAACCATTCGAGTACATTTCGTACACGAAATTTGACTGACAGTAATGTAAATTAAATGGGGAGCAGTCAAATTTCGTGTACGAAATGTACTCGAATGGTTTCGAAAATCGCACCCCTGACACTTATCAGTCGGTCCATAATTTGGCTTTTAGGTTGTAGTTTATGCAAATTGAGTTAGGGGGATGATGGTTTATGAAATAAAATAGTTATATATAAAATCATTTTTGTAACAATAAAATTTAGAAGTTACACTGCCTAACTAGGAGTAAGTATTATTGTAAATTTGCTATCCTTCTCAAGTAAGACAATTTGTCCTCGGTTTCTTCATACTTTTCTACACTGTTGGCCACAAGCGCGCCGCTAAGTTGTTTATATTTCCTTTTGGTAGGCTCCACTGGCTCCAGTCTGTTAGCTTGGGCATTGACTATAGAGTGAGTCTTATGGCATGCTAAATCACGTCCCAATCCGTCGAAAAGCATCCATATGCTCGGGTGACTGTAATGGAATAGGGAATTCAAGGCATTGTGGAAGCCTTCGCAACAATTGGTAGTTCTTGGCAATTCATCAAGGGCGGCATCGAAATGGTTCCACGTTCTTGGAGGAAATTGAGGACATCTTCCTGCGGCACCTTCTATATAGGTGGAGTTGAAATTTTCTGAATCAGGAAAAGTTCCTGCTAGTCTGGTAAAATTATCTCTTACGTTTTGTAGCGGAACAAAAGATAATGCAGCAAGAGATTTCAGCAATAATTTGGTATTACTATATTCACATTCGATTCAAAGTCCGATTTTAAGCCAACCGCATTGATTTTTCTGATAAGGCTTTGGCATAAATAGAAATAACAACACTTATTTCGGCTTCGGGAAAAGACCTTCTTGCACCATTCATGCAGGCCTTCTCGAAATCCAAAAGTATTTTCTGGGGCGCCATGTTTGGAACTAACTCTTTTAAAATTCGAAACATCTCCATGTATGTGGCTTCATTCTTCTTTTGTAACAATATATACACACATGGTGGGTACGAATTTCCCACTTTAGCGTGCCAAGTATAAAGTTGATAAAACATCGTTGGTGCCTTGTTAAATGTTCCGTCGTCGAATATAGTGGCTTGGTTCAATCTGCATAACAAGTTTTGATCACCCATCATTAAGATTCTATTTGGATTGTCTATTCCTGAATCATGCAACACGAAGTCGGAGTATTTTACAGGAATTGCAAAATGGATCGTCGATGGATTAGGCAAATGCACCTGCTAGGTGATTTCGAAGAGTTTTGGCAACAGACGATTACTTCGGTATATAAGCAAGTGCATCCAGTGATCATTACTCACTTCTGTTAAGGTAGGTATCTCCTATGACATTACGAGGAGTAGCATTCACAGTTGTCATAGCTTGTCGCATTCGACTTCTGGCAATGAGTGCTTCTGCTTCCTGGGGACAGGACATGGCAAAGACGGGTTGGCTCTTGTAGAATATCTCCGTTCTTCGTTTTCATCAAAGAATGGCAGTTTGTTGATCGATTGTTACGGCACCTCCAAGTATCTATTCCATTTGTTGTACGAAAAAGAGTATAATCCTTATAGCCTAGAATTGGCTTGCCTTTCTGACTAGTCGAAAACTCCATCTTGCTAAAAAAAAATGTTGACCGTAACTGGTTCGAAAGTTAGGATAGACTAAAGAAATTTCTAATCATGGGGCTTTATTTATAAGACGACTTTTACTGCGTTTACAGGCCAATACCCCAAATAGCACACAGCCCTAATTATTAACATAACTCATTTTCCACAAATTACAATCAACATTTTACCAACACATTTCAAAATAATTGAATAAATTAAAATATTTCCAGAAAAGGGTCATCATGAGACCCGTAAAAATTTAAAAGATAAATTTACATTAACAGGTTACTATATTACTAGATTTGCCCAACTAAAATTGTTATCTAAATTAAATTTTAAGAGTAACCTTTGGGGGCATTTTCCAGGAAATCTGAGGTAAATGATCTCTATGCAAGTTTTAAGAAACCAAGAATTGTCAAATTTGGCTCCCATAGGAAATATGGTTGTAAATTATACCTATCTCTTTTATTTGTAGTGAATAATTTAACTGGTCGATAATGAATAACAGAACTATATCGGAAGCAATTCAGAGAAAAATGCAACATTATTTTAAAAAAATATATAGAAATGCTACCAATACCAATGTACGGGCGATTTTTCTTGAGGGCGCTTTTTTCCGTGTGCGTTATTTTCCTGTATGCACCTGTAGCAAATCGCCCCAAGTACTCTATGTAAATAGTTAGATGGTAAATGGCGAGCGGTATATTGATGGTGTTTATATGTACTTGGAGCTTGCTATCTAAAATCTGTGGAAGAGGGTCTACTTGCAAAAGAGAGAAACAAACTAAGGAGGTGTACTAAATTATATTTTATTTCACATAAAACTCAAAAA